AATGGGTGTGTGGTTTGGTTGAAGTTATCTGGCCATTCATTTCGGTTCCGAAAGCCGTCAAGAGAAGACGTGGACGAGCGGAGGCCGGCCAAATCGTGAGAGGAAGGAATTATTATTTCGATTTTTCGAGCGGAGAAGAGGAGGAAGAAAAAGAAGACGAAGAGAGGCTTGGGGAAAACGGTGGCGCGCAGCAGCAGCAGCTGGTACAAAATGTATCGACCCAGCGACTCGGTCCGCCACTTAATTCCCTTGCTTCCGTCGACGTCTCGTCGAACAACCCGACGTCGGAGGTCGGCAAGGAAGCCGAAAAGCCGTCGGAACACGCAGTTGGGGAGAGGAAGGAGGAGCGGCAAAATTCGCCGCGTGAAGAGACCGCGTCGCTCGATGTGCGGGTCCGGCCTTCATCGCCGGTAAAAAACGTCGGTGGCAATAGCAATACCAGACCGTCGCCGACACCCGACCCGCCGCCAACGGAGCGGCAGCCGCAGCAACCGCAACAGCAAGTACAAAAAAATATTTCAACCCAGCGAAGCGGTCCGATAGCCGATCCCAATGCTGGCGCCGCCGTTTCGACGAACGATCCGGCGTCGGAGATCGGTAAGAAAGCCGAAAAGCCGGCGGAGCATGCGGGCGGAAAAAGAAAGGAGAAGGAGAAGGAGGAGAAGCAAACTTCGTCAATCGATGCGCGCGTTCAAACTTCGTCTTCTTCAACGGTGAAAAAAAGTGAGAACCTTCTTCCCGCCCCGGTGACTGCTTCGACCTCGCCTTCGCCATCCAGCTCGACATCTCTGCCGTCCTCTGCCGCCCTGTCTTCCTTACCGCCTCCATTGCCGCAACCCCAGGCGCGACAACAACAGCAACAGCTACCAAAATCTGACGCGGGAAAAACGGACCTTAAAAACGGTCTGCACGATTCGCGGTCGAGCAGCATCAGCGGCGGCGGCGGCGGCAGTCTCGGTGGTCAAGACGTTCCTCACAAGCCCGAGCCTCCCAAGAAGCATTCCGCTCCCCAAAACACTCAGGTCAAAGTGATTGTTCCAAAAGATGCTCCGGAAGAAAACATGGCGGTGCAGTCCCTCGATCACACTCGTCCTGTGAAAAAAGAAAAAGAAGAACCTCGCGCTGTCCCCTCGCCCCACGTAAAAATAAAAGACGGGCGAAGAAGTGTGAGGGTGTGCCTTCCTCCCGACGGTAGTCTTATGGGAATCATCTGTTGTTTGTTGGAGGCATTCCCCGCACAAGAAGTCGAAAAAATTATAAATGAAAGAAAACAGCCCAAAGCCATTGCTAATTTCCATGTTGCCGAAGTAGATGGGGACGAGTCTTTTGAAATGACGTGGGGTCACGTTTCGAAACACAAGGAACGAGTCACGCTTAGGCACGATCTGTCTGTCAAAGAATTTCTAGTGCATCTCGTGTCATACGCTCAGGATCAAAAGGATGTCGAAGATATGTATGATGAGATGCGCATGACGGCACAGGCATGTTCAAGACCTATAAAGAGAAAGGCCCGCCACGCTTATGAAAATTTGGATGGGGCAAGAGTGTTCATTTACACCGACATTATCCGATCGAGTCTGTGTGCCGATTTCCGCGGCAAGTGCCTAAGAATATTGGCACTCGATCAGGAAACAAAGCATCAAACGCTGTATCCTATCTATTATTATCCTGTGGATAAACGGGTGGTTGATTCTATATATATTGAATTGCGCGATAAATATGGAGAGAATTTTCCTTTTCCGCCGAGTGAACAGCCGTTGGTGACCGTACTGCACTTTCGGCGTGTTGGAGGCGTTAGTCTGTAGACAGTAGCGGTGCGAGGTGGACGCGTCTTCATCCCGATGGCGGCGAATAACCCGTTTTATTCCTATTATATTCAAGAGGGTGGGGGCTTTGCACCTCCCGAAGTTTATCGTTCCCGCATCGGTGTGCAAAGGGGGCGAGGGTGGCTCGGAAGTCTATTTAAAAGTGCGTGGAGTTTTTTGAAACCCATCGCGATGCGTGGAGCGAGTCACATCGGGGCGGAGGCCCTTTCTACAGGAAAAAAAATAATGGAGGACATGAGAGACAATCCCCAGGCTTCTGTTTTGGAGATAGCCAAAGCTCGAGCCAGAGAAGGGGTGGACCGTGTGGCGAAACAAATGAGTGGAAGGGGCCGAGCGTCTCGCAAGAAGAGAAAAAGAACGTCGGGCGTCCGTCAGTCGACTCCAGGACGTCGTGTCAGACGGACGAATCCCAAAGTCTCCCCCAACGCTTCATCGATTAGAGACATTTTTTCCCCGCCATCACCGAGAAAATGAGTCAGGAAAGTGTGAGCTGCATGATTCCCCAGCTGGACGTGTTCCGGAAGAAGCCGGTTCAGGCCTGCATCATGGACAAGACGGTGGAGCGATTGAGACCCGTATCGGCGCTTACGTCGATGCCCGACGTCATCGAATTCTCCGCCCCTGGAAAGCCGCTTCATTACCTCGATATAAACAATATTCAGCTTCGCGTCGTCGTGCAGATGCGCAAGAAAAACGATGTAGCGCTCAACGCGACCGATAAGAACAATTCGGTGTGCGATGTCGTGTTGCATAGTCTGTTTTCCCAATGTGAAGTATTTCTAAGCGAAAAACCGGTGACTAAATCGCCCCATTTGTACAATTATAAATCGGTTCTCGACGTGTATACTTCGGCGACCAAGGATGCCGCCGCCGGACCGTTGTCATCTGTCATCGTCATCCCAGACGAAACCAATTATACGGCCCCAAATGATCCGAACGGCGAAGATAAGAAGAGTCCATGGTATCGGCGCGCGGAACCTTTTTTCAGTTCACGCAAAGTGGAGCTAATGGGGCGTCTAAGAGCAGATGTGTGTGAAATGGAAAACGGTCAATACATATTAGACAACGTCCCTCTGAGAGTCAGGCTCACAACCTCACCGCAAGACTTTGTGATTTGGAGCGGCGCCAACGCCCCCGATGCGGAACTCATATTTGTCGAGGCCGAATTGCTCGTTCCATACTACATCGGGAACCCCGAACTGGGTCTAGGCCTGGACATGGCTCTATCGCGACAGAATGCGCAGTGGCGCTTCAAATCTACGGTCGCGAAAACGTTCCTGCACCCTGCAAACTCCGCAAACATTATCATCCCGACCGCTTTTTCGGGGAAGATCCCGAGCACAATTATCTTTACGATGGTTAATGCAAGCAGTTTCAATGGCGCGGTGAAGGAGAATCCTTACTTTTTCCCCCATAATAATATTCAAGAACTGTCCATTGTATGCAATGGCAAAGAAAGAAAATATTTAATGGACATGACTTCACCGCAAGGATGCACTTCCGCCGTCGCCAGCATGTATTCGGATCTGGGTCATTCTAGTGAAGATCTTTGCGGGCATTGGTATGATGTCAAGAGTGTGGCCAATGTGAGATTTGCGTGTGCCATCGACTTGACTGTAGACCATACGGGTAGGGGTCCCTGTCAAAATAACGATCAGTATGGAACGGTCTTCGTGCAGGCGCGGCTCAAGGAACCTCTGGCGCACGCCATCGTAGTATTGTTGTACGCGCATTACGACAGCGTACTCGAAATATCGAGCTCTCGCGAAGTCGCCGTTTATTGAGATGAGAGACTTTCAATCTCCCACCACAACTCTAGAGTTGTCGGCGATGGCTCGATCGCACCCGACCCTTCGAAATTACTTCGTTGGAACGTACCCGCTAGACGCGCTCTCCACTCTAACAATCGGGGGCGGCCGCGGCATCTCATTTACAACCTGTCTCCTTCGGGGGAAAGGGGAAGCCACTGGGTCTCGGTGTGGCTTTCTACTTTTAATACGGCCGAAATAATGGATAGTTTAGGCTGTGAGCCGCAGGATGTGGAGGTAATTGGTTTCTTGCGTCGGCACGCGGCACGCAGCTATTACTCGTCTCGTTGTATTCAATACCCGTTAAGTAATGCCTGTGGCTTGTATTGTCTCAGCCATGGCGTGGCCATGTCACAAGGCCAAACGTTGGAAAAATGGTTATCCACGTTCTCTCGGAATGTTTTACATAACGATAAATCGGTACAGTGTCAGCTCATGCGAGAACTAGCCCTCCCCTCCACTTTTAGTCCTCGAAAAAGGAATTGGAGCTGGGAATCCGAGTATAAGAGGGCGTGCACAGGCCTCGCACCGCGAGTATCTCGGCAACGATCGAAAGGAACGCGATGGTTAAGAATCGTGTCGGCGCCAACCGCAAACAGCAGCAGCAAGTGACCGTCTCGTGTCATCCAAGTGCCTCCAGCCTCCTCCTCGAGGACAACATGTGCTGCGTCTCACCGGTCGTCGTCCGCCCCGAGGAAAGCCAGGACGCCCTGGAGCAACAGGCGCTGTTCGACGCCTACCTGGCAAGCATGATGGAGACCCAGCCCGAGACTCTCTCGCCCTCCACCGCCCCCCTTGTTGAGGAAGAGGCACAGCCCCAGCGCCAACCACGCAAACGGTCGGTAAAAAGAGGAGCGCCGCGCAAAAGGCGTGCGGTGGTTTCTTCATCTCCAGAAGTTCAAAAGGAGGAGGAGGAGGAGGAAGAGCAAGAACCGAAGAAAAAGAAACGGCAAAAGACCCGTCCACGTCGTGAGGAAGAAAACCCTTTAAACCCTGTTTTATGCCAACATGTTGCTCGCTTGTGTGAAATAATTAAATGGTGTTCGGGTGCAAAGAATGTATGAAAATGTGTAAAATAAATCCATTTGTAAAAAAAACGAGTGTTTTTTAGTTTTACCCAATCACGGATATGTTTCTGCTCCTTTTCATTGATGGGAAGGGAAAAAAAAGGTTAATCGACTTCATTTTTTGTTTCTTTTTTGTTTGTTACGTCCAGATTTATTTAAAGAAATACATACATACATAACACTCACAAGAATGGTGCTCTTTTGCACTTTGATAATCATACGTTCATTTAATCATTTATTAAAGTCCACAAGCCATCAAGGCCCTTCTGATAAATATAAAATATAAAGACTCCACTTCCTTCTTTCTTTCACACGTTTCATATATTCTTAATCAAGCCCTTAACCAACCAAAACCCCATTGGATAAATAAAGAAAATAAAAACTCTTTCTTTTTTCTTTCTTTCTTTCACAAGCTGGTGCGATATATGGACACCACAAAAAAAAAATAAAAACAAACAAACACACACACACACACAAACACGCACAAGCGTTTACAGCGGCTCACGAGAGAGATCAAACACCATCAGATTGACAGTTTCAAAGTTGCGGAACAACAGGTCTTCCCGAATACCCCACAAGGCGACACTCTCCGGCTCCCCTCTTTCCCGCGCCTTTAAAGCTTCAAGACCGGCCTGCTTAACAAACTGCATGGTCTGCGATGGTTCAACGAGTTGACATTCAGGAGGAATCATGTCCCGAATGCCTCTCAACATGTTGACAACACATTTCGCCATTGAACATTGACCGTCCTCGAAACGCATAGCGTCAAAAGTCAGCACTTCACTCAAAGAAAACAACTTCTGAATGGTTACATCCCCCAGACTGATGAAGGTGTCCAGACCCGATTGATTCTTTTCAATCTTCACAATATTGCCTTGATTAGGCATATTAATACACTTGAGAAGGGCAGAGTCGCTTAATCTTACGGTCGTCGCCGGATCGTTCCCCTTCAAGAAATCTTTGATCCGCTCAACGAGTTCCGGATCAAGAAGTTTCTTAAACTCACCCATACTGAGGCTTACTCCGAGGCCGCCAGGTGTTTGCAGTGCTGCAGCCGGCGTCACCATTCGGTCAAGACGGAATCCCATAACGAGCTCCTTCGAGTTGGACGCGTTGAGCGGCCAATGCTTCTCCCCGATCCACTTGGGGTGCGGCGGGTACTTGGTTTGAGGAGGCAGAGGCTGCATGAAACGTTGCGACGCACACATCAGGTCGGCTTCATTGTCCATCAGGATGGTGGCCTCCTTTGCTAGCGATGCAACATTATCTTCATTCATCATCATCTAAAGACAAAATAAAAAACGATTGCAAATTCAGAAAACAAAAAGCCAGGGACGGGGACGGGGAACACAACACACGCACGCACTCAAAAGAAAACTTACCTTCGAGGAGGACGACGAGTCGGTGGGTCAGTCGGCACGATGCACACGACGGGGCTAGAGGGAGCCGTGGTCGTCCTGGAAGAACGGTGGAGAGAGAATGGTAGAGATGCCAAGGAGTAAAGGGTTTCAATCCATGAACTGTGCCTGCCCTACCTACCTACCTACCTTTCCCCTCTCTCTCGACCACAGTAGTAGGGGACGCGGTGGTGGCGGCGGCGGCGGCGGCGGGCTAAAGCAGCGGCCCGGGCTACAGTTCGGCCCGGTCCGGGCTGGAGTTCGGCCCGGTCCGGGCTTGACTTCGGCCCGGGCGGTGGGGGGGCGGCCGAGCGGCGGCCGCGGCAGCGGTCCGGGCAAGAGTTCGGCCCGGTCCGGGCTTGACTTCGGCCCGGGTGGGAGGTGGGTGTCGGAGTGGGGGGAGGGGGGGACTCGGCATTGGGCCCCGGGACCAGGAAATCGAGCCCGGTTCCACTGCTTTCTCTTCTTCTTCGGCTTCTTAACGAAGGGTCCACTTACGCATTGCTCGCAACTATCGATTAATCTCTTATCTTTCTCTCTCTCTCACCCACTCTTCTTCTTCTTCTACTCTTGGGCATAGCGGTCAATGATTTGTTCAACGTGGGCCAAGACATCCACGTCCATCTCTTGCCAGAATCCCTCCTCCTCTACCGCCTCCTTCTGTTATGGATGGACAAACGAAACGCACAGGTCAATTAAAATGAAATTTATTACTCGAACTGGCTGCTGTATACGTAAGAAGAGGAGGGAGAGTTTCTTTATTACCTCATTAGACATCTCCATGAGAAGCCGTTCGGCGTGGGCCAGGACATCGTCACTCATGTCTTCCCAGAGGGGCTCCTATTGAACAGACACAACCAAAACAATAAATAAATAGATGATCAAAGACGGCGACGTCGGGGAGGGGGAATTTCTTACCTCTTCCCGTGCAGGCGGCGGTGAAAATGAAGGAGGAGGAGGAGAAGGCGGAAGAGGATTGAAGCAAAATGCATTGGTGGAGATGCCGTCTTCAAGAATGTATCTCTTGTTGTCAAAATTGGACAACCCAGACTTGTTCTGCTTGATGGTGTAGAGGGAATGTTTTCCATCCGTCCTTATGCCGGCAACCTCGACAAATTTTGTTACATTGTCAAAAATACATCTCTTATAATCTTCAAAACGGACACTTTGCGCCAAGGCACTTTTTTGAATGCCTTTACACTTGTATACGGCTTTCTCACCACCCTCCGCCGTTTCGAGATCAAGAGCATACACTTTACTCCTTATTCCAGCGAAACGCAAGATGTTGAATCTGCCATACTCAATTTTGAGCCTTCCCTGAACCCGGGCGTACTGCGGATCGTACAGAGGGTGGTCCTCCGGCAGCCCGCTAGTGTCCAAAATGTCGAGAATCGGTCTGAGATCCTCGACTAGGTTCGGAGTCTTCAAATGCACGCAAAGCGAGTCTGTGTCACTCATCAGGAGAGTTTGACGCTCGCCGAAATGATTTTTCATTCGCCAATACAAGTCCATCATTAAGCATTTTGAGAAATCTAGAACCGTCACCCCAGCTGCGGGCAAATTGTTCAGGCGGACGACTGTGGGAAGCCTTTCCACAGCCACAAGGTCCTCGCCAAAGATGGTAAAACCCTTACTTGTCGGTTTTGCCATTAACTTTACAAATCGTTTTGCCGTTCTACAAAGTTCGATGGTCCGATCCTTGCGGGGGTTTCTCAGGAGCTGTCCATATATGGAGTTGGAAAAGATCTGTTGGGAATAAAAAGAAAAAGAAACGAATGGAGGTTAGTAAAAATGTCTCATTTCTTCAAAGTGGATTCTGTTTTTGTTTTTGTTTTTTTACCTTCCAAACAGCCTGCTCAAATTTATGCTCAGCCTTTTGCCTTTCCTTCATAATATCCTGGATGTACTCTTTCAGGAAAGGCGCTTGAGTGAAACGGATGCCCTTTATGAAGCGAGTTACCTTGAGGCCAAGCTTCAGGTAGTTGGCAAGCGCCATTCCATGCAGCAAATAGTTTTTGCGCGGCCCCAAATGAGCAATCAACTTTTCGGTGTGTAGCTGCGCTCCTTTCAGATTACACCGCTTCATCATTTCACGCTGGATGGGGCTGTACCAATCCTCCGGCACTTTCACACGTTCCACACAGCATGGGAATTCATTGTGAGATTCGTGCAGCGTTCGGGGATATTCAAGGTCCACATAGGCAAAATACATCTTGTCATCATCGTGACTCAGCTTGGACCAGTCTACCTGCTCCAGCTCCTCGCCACTCACCCACTCGAATTTACCGAGTGGGAGTGACTTTTCCATGCACATGCTGTACATCTGCAAAATAAGGCAAACAGGGGTGAATATATTTAACCGCACCTCAAACATGGCAACATGAAGAAAGAAAAAAAGGAAAAAAAAACTCACCGCGTTGATGTCAAACATGAGAATGTGGCTCTCGGGTTCGCTAGGCCTATAGCTCGACGTCCCGGGAATATTGGCCTCCGCGTACCTGTGATGCGTGGAAGAATAGCCTCCCCTCGCTGCTTGAGTCAAAAGGACATTCATGGTGGGGTCAGTGCATCTCTCAACCTTGCACTTTGTAAACTTTAGCATGGCACACATGCTCAACGACGATGCTGATACGAAGTGATTAATCTCGAGCGTATACTTTTTGAAAATCATGTTCCTGAACTTATTCATGAAACAGGCCAACAGGATGGTGTCGGTTTCAAGATAAATCCTACAGTAGGTCATGAGGGAGTCACATTCCATGACGTCCCATATCTTACGCCCACGTTGGTATTCCTCCTCACTGGGCAGAGAACCGCTGAGAGACGAGTGAAAAGCTTCTCTCGGTGGGTACTCTCTAGTATCCAACATTTGCTGAAAGTCCTCGGCCAACTCATATGGGTAGATCCCTTTCACCGTCAGAAGACGCCGCTTCTCATCGTCCGGAAACACTTCCTTGAGAATTTGCAGGTCGTCGTCTCTCAGTGACTTGCTGAGTTCATCGAGAGAGGAGGCGACAAACTGATAGCTATCCAAAAACAGCAACTTGCGTCCGTTCTCCAAGTAGATGGTAGCGGAACGGTAGCTGTCGGTTGTTCGCGGCAAGATTGTTATCCGCGACTTTGAGAACAGATCGTTATTGATCAGACCTCGGAAAATTAGGTGGAGGTCGTAACGGTTGCCCGCATGCGCGAATATGGGTAGGAATGTTTCCCTTTTCATACTCCCGTTACAAGAAAAGCAACAAATATGTCTCAGACTGTGCATCGGTTCCAAATGGTCGTGGTCGGCCGTCTTTCTGTCTGCCTCCTCGCATTCATCGAAAAATTTGTGACACAACTCGCAGTTTGTCGCGGCATCGAATCGTGCCTTCTGCTCCTCGGACATGTGGATTGGATAGTCCGGGCGTTGGTCCCACAACCGTTCCTCCAGCTCCACAAGGTCTTCCAGGAAAAGACGCGCCATATCCTCATCGACCCGTTCCTGCGTCCGCGTGATTTTCTCCACGAGTTCTCCTTTCCAGTTGCAAGCCACGATGCAGTAGGCCACGGCGCGATGTTCCTGAGTACGGCGAGTTTTGGGGCCGCCATTGGCCGCATCGTCCTGAAGAGGAATCAACACTGATTCAAAATCATAATAAACTGAATAAGAAGTCCTCTGCATGTTTTTCCACTTGAACTTGTCGAAAGACATGGGCCCGGCTTTCTCCATATAATCAATACTCTGAAAGCCAAACTTGCGGCATGCTTCTTCATGCTCTGCCAACTTGCCTGCCCCCTTGTAAACAGCCCCCAAACAATAACAACAATATCTCTCATTGTTGGTGGACTTCCTAACGCCTCGAAGAAAGGCATTGAAATTTTTGACGAGCACGTAGTGACTTCTACCCGTCTCTCGATCTTCCAAAAGGAGCAATGTCACGTGGTTTTGCTTCTTTTCAGGAGTGCAGTACCTTACAATAATGTCGGGCATTTTCATTTTCTCCTTCTTCTTCTTCTCCTTCTTCTTCTCCTTCCCCTTCTTTTGCTTCTTCTTTGTACTTTTCTTTTTCTTTTTCTTTCTCTGAGAACCTTCTTGAGCTGCTTGGTCGAAAAAGTCTCGCCCACCCCCGTTTCCTCCTCTTCCTCCCTCACCATCGTCATCATCTTCATCTTCACCATCACCCACATCATCTTCGTCACCATCATCATCGTCATCATCATCGATGCCGAGATCGTGGAGAGGACGACCAGCCTTAAGAGCCCTGGCCGCTGCAGCAGCAAGAGTGGGGTTGGAACTTTTGGACTCGTTGGCCGGCTCATCCTTTGCCACACCGAGAATGCAGAGACTTATGTCCGGATTCAAGATCTCAAATTTGGCTACGTCTCCCAGTCTCATTGGAGCATAGTCTATCCCATCCGTGTTAAGTCTGTGAACATGAGCAGCATACGGTTGTGGCCTATTCACGTTTCGCCCACGCCTCGGCACGATTCCCATGCCCGCAATAACGCTGAGACGGAAGCAGTCCTGGTCTTTATTTTTTATGTTTATTAGACTTTTCATGTCTGCCAACTCGGGGGGGAGGGGCATGTAGCTGCCCGCACCAACAATGGGATGATGTTGACCGGTTCTTATGATGATTTTATAAATCTCCCCAAGAACCCACCCACTGCCCTCGACATTCAACACTTCGCTGTTTGCCAGCACTTCTAGAATGGCCTTCTCGACCTGTCCTTCAACAGAAGATTCGTCAATGTGCAGTGTCTGTTCCCCACTTCTCAAATGTTTCAGTTCATGCTCGATCTCAACTTGACCATCTTCCCCAGGCACTTCTCGCAGCGCGTCGACGTGCGTCAACAGCCACCATTTGATGCCGGTCCGCGAGGCGTTCATCAACTCAGTCATTTTTCTGACGAGTTCCTGCTTGTATTCTATGAGCAAAAGGTTAAGATCCATCTTGTTGGAAAAAGACAGGGTGTGTTCCTGCGCCGTGCCTGCGAGGGCTGTAGTTGCCACCCACCGCGGCTCTTCTTCTTCTTCTTCTCTATTTCTCATTTCACCTGGATCTTCTTCTTCTTCTCTATTGTTTTCTTCATCTTCTTCTCTATTGTTTTCTTCATCTTCTTCTCTATTGTTTTCTTCTTCTTCATCTTCTTCTTCTTCTTCTTCTTCTTCTTCTTCTTCTTCATCTTCTTCATCTTCTTCATCTTCTTCATCTTCTTCATCTTCTTCATCTCTTCATCTTCATCTTCTTCTTCTACATCTTCCTCTCCTCCGTCTTGATGTTCTTTCTCTTTCCTCTGTCTGAGAGCTGCGGAAGGGGAAGGAGCAAGGACCTTTTCTGTCGACTTTTTCCCCTTTTCTTCTTCTTCTTCACTTTCTTGCGGGCGACGATGCGGAAGAGGGCGAAGGACGGCACCGCCTTGCTGGTTGAATTCGTCAAGGATGGCCTCATGTTTTTCGCGTGCGGTGCACTGGGATACATGAGACTCTCGCTCGTCACCACCGCGGAACGTGCGCCGGCAGTAAGGGCATGGATACGAGTTTGTTCCTGAGGGAACACAAACGTGAGTCCTATGAATGCTGGCGGACTCCGAAACAGTGCCGCACGCATCGCATGCCCGGGGATCGGCATGGGTGCGGGCATAATGTTCGAGAACACGGTTTCTTTCAACAGAAGAATAACGGCAAAGCCAACAACACACTCTTCCACGAATGTGAACGTCCGACACGTGTCGACGCAGGTTTGCACTTTTAGAAAACACTTTTCCACATTCGCCGCACGAGGCTGCACAGCGCTTCCTTTTCTTCTTCGCCACTGGAGGGCCTTCCGGAGGATGACTGCTGATGGTCCTTTTAGCAGTGTAGGGTGTGGATTCGCTATAGCGATCCATCGGCACATGTTTGTGCAAATGCTCTGCCAAATCCCTCAGGGATGGGAATGCCAACCCATCGTTGCACAAATGACATCGATGCTGCAAATCGCCAACAATGGGGGTGAAACTGTCACTGCTTGTCCCGCAGCGTCGATCGCCACGGCTGGCGCCGCGGCTCACGCCGCCGCTGCTGCCTTCACCGGAACCATGCACCGTCAAGTGGGATCGGAGTTGGCCGACGGACCAAAACACATACCGACAAATTGGACATGTAAAGTTTTGCTCCATGATGCAGATGGCACTGCGGAATGACGAACGCGCGATTAGTTTGGCTACAAGTTGCCCCGACACACGGCACGATGCGATTCACTCACCAAAACACTCCAGACTAGCGACTCAGCTCCAACCTCCACTGCCGGGACTCGGATCGCGTCCCCACTCTTCTCCCACCTTTTCCTTTTTTTTTTCATGCCTCGAGTGGAAGGGGAAAATCAACCTGCTCATGCAAGCATGGATTCATTACAAATGATGATGATAATGATAAAATGGAAATAGACACATTTAAAAAACGCGTATGAATTGTATGCTCACCTTCACTCATGCATTAGAAATGCCATAGCGCTTGAACTGTGGACTGAATGCCCCTCACGCGTGCGCGATGAGAGAGATGGCGCGCCAAACGGCATTCAGATTGGCTGTCATGTGCATGAATTTCCAACAGTGTATGAGCTGCAGGACTGCATCGCATCGCGCAGGGAAGGCGGGTGGGGCGACCCGAGTGGAAGACGGGCGGATGGGGAAGGGGGGGGAAAGGGGACACGGGCGGACGGGGAAAGGGGGGGGGACGGGGGGGGGGGGAGGGAAAGGGGGCACAAGGCTTTCCGCGGCTTGGATCTTCGCACTATTCTTCATCCATCCCCCCACCCTCTGACTCTGACCCCTCACCCCCTGACTCTGACTCTGACTCTGAACCACCACTTGAACCGTCCTCAGATTCCAATTCATTCACCTGCTGGATAATGAGCGAACCTTGGCAATTGCAGTGCGGATCAAATTGGCGAGTATTTATCCCACAATGTTCACAACGTCTTTCCCGTTCGACAAACGCGGTGAACTCGTCCAGTTCATATATGCCCGGCTCATGCGAATCATAAAAATGAACTACCGAGTGCTTACTAACGTTAGCGAAATGAAGGTGGTCAACACAATAGCGCTGAGAATGCGAGCCCAACACTACTGCATACCCCAAAATGCGCATACACCCACGGAAACGTGGGGCCTCAAGCACGTTGGGACCCGACATGGCGCGCGCGCGCGCACACACACACACACACACACACACACACTTGAATGGATGCGGCAAGACACCACGCGATATTGGACGCCCGGTCCACACGCACACACACACACACAGACACACACACACCGACTCACAGACGGAAGGGCGTGGCACGGCACGAAAAGGGGCAAAGCCCTGCAAGGCACGACACGGCTACCCACAACGGTGATTCACCGTCACACTCGCACACACACACTCGCACACACACACTCGCACACACACACTCGCACACACACTCACACATTCACATTACACGCACGGTCATACTGAAAAACAATGAAATTGGGAACGAAACAACTAGTCCTCCCCATTTCCCGACACACCGCGAGCCGTCCGCTTGCGATACAAATCGAGGGCCGGGCACGGACACCGAGATTCAAACCGCGCTAAACTACGGCTACACACATCACACCATTGTTGCTGGGCGTCCAAGCGCCTCCGATTGAGGATAATGCCCGAGGTATGGGTGCGTGAGCGAACAATCGTTTCCAATTTCTCACCAGCTGCCGCGCGGATACAGTCGGGACTGCAAACTCTACGCTCACCGCGTTCGGATACAACAATTATCTCTTCCACCACTAGACAGCCAATCATGGTCAACCGAAGCGCGCCAACATTCAATCCACTGTTTGGTTTTTCTTTCAAGCACACTCACATCGTACGCTACTCGTCGCGAATTGTGGCGCATACAATGGACACACACACACACACTTGCACTGAACACAGAACACTCGATCGCTGCGGCAAGGCGGAAAGGTATCGGCGTCACAACACAACTGCACGCTCCAAGATTTGGAAACGGACTGAAGCCTAGGTCGGGGTCGCACCAGGAGCCAGCATCGGTATCGAATCATAAATCGACAAGATCGTTAAAAATTGGGCTGCGCGGTCGGGCCGGTGTCATCGACGAATGTGTTTATCATCCGTTTACGCAGGATAACAAGAGGATCACGCAGGGACGCTGACCTCACCCCACCTCCTTGCATCTAATTGGGAGCAAGCAGACAAGCCGGCCGGCGCCAAGGGATCGGTGAATTAATGAGATCGGTGAATTAATGAGTGCCTCTGTGCGCGAGGGACGCGGGCTACCCCCCCCCTCTTACACCTTCCTTCACACTCACACACACACACATACACACTGGACAGCCGATACCCCCTAACGCGTGATCGGTAGCCAGTAGCATCTCTCTCTCTCTCTCTCTCTCTCTCTCTCTCTCTCTTTTCTCTCTTTTCCTCTCTCCTCTCTTTCTCTCTCTCCCCCAAATTCCCACACCCCGGAGCAGAAACCTATCCCCCCCAAATAAGAATGCGTCAAGCCGCTCCGAGCCGGGGCTCCGAGGCTCCGAGCCGGGGGCTCCGTGGCTCCGAGCCGGGGGCTCCGTGGCTCCAGCGCTTGACGCAAACTTATTATTTTTTCACACACACGTACGACGTCCACAGGAACGTCCGAGTGGCGATGATCGAGTGCATGCCCGCCAGCAGGGCGACGAGGTCGGAGGGCTTGTCCTCGGCCATCACCAGGACGCTGCTGGGGATGGACAGGGTGCTTCGCAACGCCTGCGACGGCCACGGCCCGCGCGGCCTGGGCAGCAGCGACACGGTGGTCGTGTCCTTCATGAGGCTGAGGAACGCGCCCAGCCAGCGCGGCGACCCCAGGAACAGCAGCTGCGGAGGGAACGGGCCGGTGCGCAGCAAGGCCGGCTGGAGCACGCCGTGGATGTACTGCGCCTCGTCCAGCACGGTGTGCGTGCTTCTCGGCAAGATGGCGTCCCAGGCGGGGCTTGGCGCTCGAACAGGCGCCGTGAGGACGAAGAGCATGAGGAAGCACCTCACCGCGCGCTGGCTGGCCATCGTGCGACTGTCTGCAGCCGGACACTGGTCGGGGGCCGCTTGAGCGGTTCACTGTCAAACACACACTGCACAGAATGATGCGTGGCATTCATCGAATGTGACGTCGCACACTGAGATTCCAAACGCTACGAGTATAGCACGTGTGGTGCAATGCATTGCGATATTGCACCATACATACGTGCAGTGCCATAGCCATATTGCACCTTACGAGCATGCGTCCCGAAACTGCCCTATGCTAATGCACGGGAGGCCATTGCACTTCAGGTGCGATGCAAAAGCATTCCACCAATTGGTGCAATGAAAACGTCTTCAAATGCATTGCAGCAATTCGCCCTTACTCATAGCGTTTGGATTCTCGGTGCAGTCATAAGAACGTGGGATTTGTCACGTGCGTTTGAATACGATGTCACATTCGTTTGAACGTGACACGGTCGCTTAATAAAGATGTCACATGTGTTTGTACGGAACTAGGATCAACATTCCAACGAATATGAAATCATATTCAAAATATTCAGACGAGCGTGAAAAAATTCACATTCCAACGAATATGACGTCACAATCGTTCGATAACAGTTTTTACTTTTTTCTTTTCGGGACCGTCACTCTGATTCCAGAAAAGTGACATCATGTTGATCCGAAAAGCTGTGTAGAGTTATCACCCTAATTTGGGTGATGAAGAATACCTCACCCAAAATGTTGGTCCCGATTATGACTCTTTCATTCTTTCGCTTGACTGAAGCGTACACGGTGAAACCGATGTCTGGAAATTTCAGACATTTTTTCCCATTTCCAGACATCGTCTGGAAATGGCCGTTTATTTCCAGTCAATGTCTGGAAATGTCTACTTTTTCCAGATAATGTCTGGAAATGGTCAAATCCCAGATATATATCTGAAAAAAAAAAACGGCATTTCCAGACAATGTCTGGAAATAACATTTTCCAGATAATATCTGGAAATTTCCCAGATAATGTCTGGAAACAAAGGCCTTGACGCCGAGGTCCACGGATTTGCGACCTGGGGGTCCCTGATGGTGTCCTCGAGGTCCCCAGGACACGAGGAGTCCAACGCCGAGGTCGCCGACGCTCTAGGACAAGCGGTTCCGGAGATACGAGGACGTACCACAAGGAGTCCGTCAAAGCAATTTTTTAAATTGGGGGCCCAAAATCATCATGGGCCCGTCTGGCTGCGTTCCACTTGGGTGTCCGGGACTTTTGACTTCAGCATCGTGTTAGACTACCAGGAACCCGTCAGGGGTCGCCGTCGGACCAACGGTGCGCCCAGGATGCCGACGAACGTGAGGCACGCCGGAGCGCCGTGGCGTCCCGGGGGGGCCTAAACGATCATCGCCACCGCTGCGGCCGCGGCCGCTGCCCCCCGGGTCCCCGCACCAACCGCGAGCTTGGACGACGGAGGCCGACGCCGTTGGCACCGACGCCGCCGACGTGTACGTCGACGCCACCCCCCCGTGCTTAGTCGGCCGTTAGTGGTTCTAAGGGCCGCTTCGGCCTCTGGCTGCGTTCCACTTAGGTGTCCGGGACTTTTGATTTAAAACCTGCGTTAGGGTGCACCTGGGCTACAGTCAGGGGTCCCCGTCGGACTACCGGTGCGCCGTGGGTGCCGACGAACGTGGCGGGCAAGGTGCCTGAACGATCGCGTCGCCCCCGCCGCCGCCGGTCCTACGTCGCGACCAACAGCTTGGACGACGGGGGCCGACGCCACCGACGTGTCTGTCAACGCCACCACGGCCAGGGCCGACGACGCTGCCGCGTGCCCCGGGCGGCTAATGCCGCCGGCGTGTCCTGCGTCGCCACCCTGTGCTTGGACGGCCAGAGACGACGCCGTCGGCACCGACGCGGAGTGCCCTGACGGCCGACGCCGCCGCCGTGTGCTCGAACGGGGCCCCGCAGCCGGAGGCCAATGCCAGAGGCCCAAAGTGGTGGCGTCGACGTACACGTCGGCGGCGTCGGTGCTAACGGCGTCGGCCTCCGTCGTCCAAGCTCGCGGTTGGTGCGGAGGACCCGGCGGCAGCGGCCGCAGCGGTGGCGACGATCGTTTAGGCACCCGGCACGCCACGGCGCTCCGGCGTGCCTCACGTTCGTCGGCATCCTGGGCGCACCGTTGGTCCGACGGCGACCCCTGACGGGTTCGTAGTCTAGCACTACCTTAACACGATGATGAAGTCAAAAGTCCCGGACACCCAAGTGGAACGCAGCCTGAGGCCGATGATGATTTTGGCCTCCAACTAAAAAGTTGCTTTGACGGACTCCTTGTGGTACGTCCTCGTATCTCCGGAACCGCTTGTCCTAAAGCGTCGGCGACCTCGGCGTTGGACTCCTCGTGTCCTGGGGACCTCGAGGACACCATCGGGGACCCCCAGGTCGCAAATCCGTGGACCTCGGCGTCAAGGCCTTTGTTTCCAGACATTATCTGGGAAATTTCCAGATATTATCTAGAAAATGTTATTTCCAGACATTGTCTGGAAATGCCGTTTTTTTTTCAGATATATATCTGGGATTTGACCATTTCCAGACATTATCTGGAAAAAGTAGACATTTCCAGACATTGTCTGGAAAAAAACGGCCATTTCCAGACAATGTCTGGAAATGGGAAAAAATGTCTGGAAATTTCCAGGCATCGGTTTCACCGTGTACAACTACGCTCTAGTTTTACTAGTGCTCGCGCGGGAAAGTCCCAATCGTAATCGTACCCCGTTTCTCGTACTTTTTTTAGGGGTTCCCAAGAACCCCTATTGTCCGAGGTCCGTGGATTCCCCCCCCCCCCTCTTCGATTTTTAAATAAACAACGCTAAACTATTTCAACCATGAAAAAAACGAAAATTCCAAAATTTTTCGAAAATTCATCGTGGAAATTTTCCGTAAACGCGAAAAACATAAATTTGCAACAATCGAAAACAAGAACCGTTCATGACATGAAAAAATGGTTCAAATAAAAAATGTGCCACTCCTCAAAACTAAACCTCCTGGCTCATCAAAGTAACAAGAAATCGTCTGTGTTCTGAGCAAATGGTTAAAACGTGAAAAAACAATCTCCATGGCAACGGCATGGTCCCATCGTGCCACCCGTCAAAATTTAAAGTCGCCGATAAAGAGAAATCAAAACGCCGTGAAATTCGAAAATGCCAATGCTAACGCATTGCACGGTGTCCCGACGTTGGAACATCTTTAAAGTCTGTCACTAATTAAAAGTTCGTAGCAGAAACGACGCACCAATTTAATTTTCGTGGGTTGGCACCGATTTGCTTGCCGTCTGCGCCCTTTCGAAAATCGCGAGGCTGAAAGAACGAGCAGGCGCCCATTGAAACTGCCCCTCCATTGTTGCTGAGGTTGCTCTCAAAGGCTGCGGTTGTCTTGTCATGTTTTCCTCGATTCTGTAGAACAGTTCTTACTCACAACGTAAAAACAGCACGATGGTTGGTTTGACAAACTTTATAAACTCGGGAAGGGTGATTTCGAAACGCCGCTGACTTTCGTTTAACGAACATGAGCACTGTAACTCGCGAAATGGAGTGAGACGGTCAGAGTGTTAACTGAATCAGGTTTGACAGAACTCTTTTCCATTGCTTAGTTTGAATTTAGCGCATGCTCATTGAAACTGCCGCTCCATCGTTGCTGAGAGGAGCAAAAGTTTGGGCTTGGATTAAAGCTAGAGGCTTGAACTGTGACCATGTGCATTTATTTTAAAACATTAAGGTACAAATTATTTGCATTCTCCTTACAAAGTCGGACTTCTTTGAGCCGTTAGCAGGCGGTGACTTCGAATCAAAGCCCAAGTTTTTGCCTCTCTAGAGCTTAACAAGGCTGAAAATGAGCCCACAAAGCAGCCCTGCATTTAGAGCCTACCTCAGACCTCTACTCCGATTAGCACGCTTAAATTAAATACAATACCTGTTTAAATTCAGGCCAAACCACAATTTCTACACATTTGTTTATATCTCACTTTTAAACCAGTTATGAAGACGGGAACACCGTGCAATGCGATTAGCATTGGAATTTTTTTAATTCAACGGTGGGATTTGGTGAACCTTTCCCATGAACTTCGCTATACCATTTCCGCCAACAGCGGTGCCTCTGAGCGAGACTCGGCAGGGAGCAGCCGCACAACGAGTGACTGGCTTTCCCGGCCGGCTTGTAGAATCGAAGCCAGAACGACCGCTTATAAAATAATCAAGCTAAAAGCCGAAGTGGAAGCAGTTTGGTGCTGTAACTTTGCGCAGAGAATCGAGGCGCCACAAAAGCGCTGCTGGGTATGGCTCGGTTCACACGCGTGTTTACCGAAATGCGTCAGGCCGGCGCCACCCGTCGCGCTGGCACTCGCCTTTGTTATTGATTTTGAAGCCGCAAGGACTCAGGCCGTGGCCGTGCATTAGGTGAACCACTCAAATTTGGCGCACACTGGCCAAACACAGCAAATCCGGTGGCACGATAGCTTGCGACAATATTGGCAAGCAGTTTTGAGTGCCAAAAATTGGCAACCTGAAATCTGCATCACCTTGCTACTATTTGGAAAGGTGGCCAAGCTGGGGAAAATTTCAAAGCCAGTCTTGCCAATTTCTGGTATTAAAAACGCTAAGCAACCCTCTCTCCGGCATTGCAGCGAACGTGGTTCAGCCGTTAAAGTTCAAGAGTGTGCGCACACATGGTCAAATTATGGCTTGAGGATGGAAGGATAGTTCTCGATTTATACAAATCATGTTTATTCTAAACAAAATATATATTTCTGATAAAGTACTCATTTCTGTTCACTTCCACGTCGTAGTAACATCGATTAAACAAGAAGGTACCGTTCTACTGTTCCAACTCTGAGTGACATTTCCATATATACTATAACTATATACTATATTGATCCTTTCACAAATAAAATACGAATTTCAGGGAAGAAAATTCGAACAGTTTCGAGCGGAGCGCTAACCATATAAACATCCAGAGTGCAAGCAAAATTAATTACGCCACATCACCTGCCAGAAATCTACTATTCATACACAGACAACAGAAGGAGATACTTGTATAGGAATCGTAGTATTATTGTCCTCTGAACTATCGAAATGCTAGTGCCGCAAACATACTAAATGGGGCATCAAGTCAGCCCTGAAAACTAGTAGGAACATGAAGTTAATTCTAAGGAGAAATACACCGATGTAATACTGTTCATTAAGAATACCAAAGAATACAATAACTTAAAACTAAACAATTTTATGAGTCACAATCAAACAATTGATATCAAGGAAAAATATGAACTTAAAACTTATTAATTAGAATAAATTTTTCAATCCAAACCCCAAGTCAATTAAAAGCAGGGAACATGACTACCGCCTAGTTTGCGCTTTACTTCCACGAAAAAGGCCATACATGAAATGCACGTTTTCTCCGGGAAAATTCCAACAGTTGATCTCCATTTTCACACGAGAGGCTCCGAAAATGATTTGATCGGTTTAAAAAACTGAACACTGGTTATTGACCAAAAACTATAACATGCACAATAAAAGAATATAAAAATAAACAGGCAGCATTAAACGCCCATCCGAACGACAGTCGGAAGATGAAGTGGAGTTGGGAAGAGTAAAAGGACTCCAGACAGGTCAGAAGTAGTAATCATCATGGAAACCACTAAAGATGTACTGGAAATCCTCCTCCCAGGACTGGGCCCACTCCGCGGCCCTGCCCCTGCGGCCCCGGTGGCCGCCATCGTTGGGCACGTCCCTGGACGCGAAGAGGGGCTTCTCCAGAACGGGCACGTTGTGGCAGGCGCTGCAGACCACGGTGCAGCCGGGCGCCAGTTTGCGCAGTGCGTCGCGCAGGGAGGAGCAGGTGGCCCTGGCGTGGCTGCGGGTCCTGCGGGCAGAGGATTCAGGCGTCAATCGCAGGACAACTTCGACGAATATCAGGGCACGAGGGGAAATCACTCTAAAAAATCGTGACCCGACTACTCCATTACGCTTTATTACGCTATTACCGGCTATTACAGAAGTCTTATTACGTTTGCAAATATCGAGATTGAAGCTAAAATCAGACCCTTATAACGGAAAATTCAGAAAATTTTGGCTATTACGCTATTACTATTACGCGTAATACAAGGGATCGGTGACCCGACTATTACGTGAGTGATTTCCCCCTCGTCGGAGCATTTGGCTGATAATGAAAATCTTGCCTTTAAAAAGGCGATACTCAAAACTGTATGTATCGCCAAAAAAGGTACTGAAAGTATCATCTTTGGATTTGGAGAGTTAATGCAAAATTTCGCCATAAGCTTCTTATGCTCACTAAAAAACTGTCAAAAAAAACTTATGGCGAAATTTTGCAACAACTCTCCAAAGGTGATACTTTCAGTATTTTTTTTTTGTTTTGGCGACAGCCTACAGTATGAATGTGAATAAGATAACTATTTGTCTCATTCGTTTCAACGTGATGTCGGGGTATTTTTTTTTTTACAAAAATACACGGGACGGGCCAAAAACATACCGTGACATCACGTTGAAACGAATGAGACAAATAGTTACCTTATTCACATTCAAACGAATGTGAACGATTTACGCCGCCCCAGCCTCCAGGGGCGTAAATCGTTTATGTCCTTAAAGGGCATCATTTTAATGCCTTTGTTTCACCAGTGAGTGCACTATGCAGGACGAGAGCCGAAGAAACATACCCGACAAAGGCCACGTAGTCCACGGGTCTTGATTTCAGCAACTGCCGCATCTTGACTTGGTCCGGAGCGTATGCCGGATTCACTTTGACCATCAGACGCCGCAGTTTAGAGCAGCACAGGAGCGCTTCCAGTGGCAGGCAGTGTACCCCCACTTCCTCCAGAGTAGCCGTGTTGGCGAGAACCAGCGAGTTGACGGCGGCTGGCCCAACCTGAGAAAGGGACACAAACAGGAAAAGTGAAATGATGTGTATAATATAATGTGAGGCTGTCCGCACTCTCAGCACAACACTGAACTTTTCCTCACCGTGGAGGTAGGCATCCCATTCGTCAATATCCAAATTTATTCCTTTGTTTGTGATGAAAAAGAGAGTCTTTAAGTATTAAATTGTGATCCGAACTTGATTGATGTTAAAATTTTTGCAATCCACAACTAAAACAATGGAATTTGCACGGAGTTAGTGGAACTGTGACAGATGGGTTGCCTACCTCCACGGCGCGGGCCGTATCTGCCCGAGACGGACAGAAAGGTTGGTTGTTGCGCGAGGGCCGACTTGAACTTTTACGGTACGCGTTGCAGGTGTGGGCCTTTGCAGCCACTGAGTGGAAGGTCTCGAGTCACTTTGCCACCCTGAATCGAAATTTTCCGCCCACGGGTTCACCCTGTGCACACTTCCGAACTTGGGGGTTGATTTTTCAACCCCTCATTATTTTGGGGCCCCAGAGGCGTTCCCGAGGGCTGCGATGCGGCGGGATGGACTCGATGTGATGCCTGCAGACCTCCCCTGCCGTGCTGCATCAGTGCCACACGCCACACACTAAATTCTTATGGACTTTTTAGCAGATGATACCTTTACTCAAAAACATACCTAAAACTACAACTAAAAGACACATAAAGGTGTCAGCTAGCTTTTACTCGAGAGTCCAAAAACCAAGTGCGTATCCTAACAATATAATAGGGGCTGGCTGCCGGGGCGGGCTGGTGCGTCTGTGCCTGCGGCGCAGCCTGCGCGGAATTCGACAATGGCACCCCTCCTCGCGCGCGACGGCCTGGGCGCAACATTCACAATCCCTCCCCGCTACAGCGCACAAAGGACTCAGCTTTTAAATACTATCTTTGGAATGAACCCATACTACACCGTAGAAGAAAACCAAACGAGTATCATCTGCTTTCATTAACGTTCGTTGAATGAGATTTTTTATGCATAGTTATGCATGCGCAGAAACGTCCATATGTTATGTATAATATTATGCATCACTGTGTACATTTTATGCAGGAAGACGCATGAAATGTACACAGTGAAGCATAATTTTTTACATACCTTATGGACGTTTCTGCGCATGCATAACTATGCATAAAAAATGCGTCCTTATGCATTTAAAAAGTCCATAAGAATTTAGTGTGAGTGAGCAGTGCGTTCCAGTGACGCTGGTTCTGGAACCACCGGTCGGCTTGCCGGTCGGTGTTATCGTGTCTTTTTAGCGCCTGCCAGGCATGCCAAGGCAGTTCGCAACACATGCGTGTCTAATGGGTGGCCTATCTCGCCCCTGACTCACTTCGTCTGCGATCCTCACCGAGCAGCCACACTGTTGTCGATTCGGTTGCGCGTCTGTTCCTCCACTTTGATATTTCAAAAGCTGAATGTATCTTTTGTTGCTGAGTGCTTTAGGTGTCACCGCCGGCATGGAGCGCTCAGGACTGTTTTTGGTATCTTTTGAGGGGAGAACCAGCATGAATTTTCCTCAGGTTTATTCTCATGCGATGAAGTGGAGCAGATTTTCTCATCAGAATAAGAAAAAAGACAATTTAACGCCCAGGAGAACAAGAAATAGAAATTTGTCTGAAACAGAAATATCTCCTCAAAATGATACCGAAATCAGACTTGAGAGCTCGATGCTGGCGGCGACACATGCAGTACACAACAGAAAACACTCTCCAAACTCAGAAATGTGCTCGGCACACACTATTCAGCGTGTACTCACAAGTACACTTCCACGAGGGTGTGCCGAGATGAGTACACTCCAATGAGGGTGTACTCAAAGAGTACACTCCAAAGAGAATGTGCTCAGATCAGTAAACACCTTAGCACGCCAGGCAGCAGCTGAGTACACGCTTATGGGACTGTAATCGTGAGTAATCAACAACAGTGGGGCTGCCGATGGCAGGGCAGGGTTTGATGCAGGGAGGGTGGGGATGTGGCGCAGACCGGAGTAAGAGTAGTTCCAAAAAAAATTGGAAAACTAAAACAGAAAATGTCAATATTTGGGCCTTTTTTCTTTAAAGAAAGATGAATTTTTGTCAAATTTGACGGCAAGATCGTGTTCACCGCCCAATTATGATACTAAAATCAGATTCTGAAAGCTTAAAAAATGCCCAAATTTAGGGTATAAAGAGCCAAAGAATCTCAACACCCCCATATCTCCAAAATAATTTTTTTAGGGTCTAATATTTTGGCCCAAAACTCCCACCACCGACCAAAAATTAAAGTAGCTTTTTTTGCCTACGGACAGAGACAAAGTGTGGCTTTTTGCCTCCCACTCCTTTCCCCCGGAATCCGCGCGGGGCACAGTGGGCCAGAAGACCGACGCCGGTGGCCAGAACTCTAGACGCGTTTTCAGCCCCAGAGTCGCGAAACGGGACTCGAACCGACCGTGTGACCCCATCAATGGATTCCTCGTGCTGAGAGCAATCCATTGGTGGGGTCACACGTTCGCTTCGAGTCCCATTTAGCGACGCTGGAGCTCAAAACGCGTCCGGGATTTTGGCCGCCTCCACCGGTCTTCTGGTCCACTGTGCCGGGGTGCGGGGGCTTTTACACTCACCCCGGAATGGCACAGCAGCTTCTTGAGGTGGCCCTTCGTGCCGCTCGGGACGGCCGGCACCTGGTAACGGGGCCCATCTGCTGACGGGTCCCACAGCATACCCATGTTCCTCCGTTGGTACTTCTCCTTCGTCACATCCCTCTCGTACGAAACCGCGAGGCTGTGGAGTTGGGGCAGAGCCAAGGCCGTCTTGAGAGCCTGCACGTTGGGATTCAAGAGCAACAGGTCCTCCAGCGTCTTCTGGCGGAGGATGTATTTTTGCGTCCACTGGAGTTGCCCGTTCAGCTCGGCTGACTTCACCTGAGCAATAGCCGAGGCAAAAAGCACAAAATATAATACAACTATAACGGGGGCCATTTGGCAACGTGTATCCTATTCGAGTGAAAACGAAAAGGCAGTCCATTAAGTTATCGATATTTCCTGAGATGAGTGTGCGTGCCTTTCGGCTGCCAGCGGGCTCAATATCCAGTGTCGCTCGATACTCAGCTGACGTGATCGTAATATAAGTTTTGGCGCTACTAAAGTACCGCCAACTTTTTGGCGATTCTTTGTATACACTGCCAATCCAAATGTGAGACAGTCTCACACTATTTAGTGCGAACCACGATGTCTCGTCTCACGCTTACAAGTGTGAGCCACGTGTGTCCCACGCTTGTAAGAGTGAGACACGGTATGTCTCATACTTGCAAGCGTGAGACCCGGCTAGTCTCACACTTACGAGCGTGGGTCCTGTGGCATTAAACCAGGGAGGCAGCAAGTGTGGGACAAACCGTGTCTCACACTTCTAAGTGTGAGACACGGTATGTCTCACACTTGCAAGCGTGAGACAAACGTGGCTCATACTTGTAAGCGTGAGACATCGTGGTTCGCACTAAATAGTGTGAGACTGTCTCACACTTGGATTGGCAGTGCATTTTTCGCCATTTTTGTACAAAATTGTACAAAATTTTGTACAAATTTGTAAGAAATAAGTTCGTGTGCACATAAAACTGTGATGACCCGTACAAAATTTGTACAAAAACATTTAGGGTGTAGCGTACCTCGCAGGTGGATCGAGTGGCGATGGCAGTCCTGGCGGCGTCCTTGAGGCTCTTGGGGCAGCTGACGCGAGCGAGGCAGGGCGCGAATCGAATCGTCCTCGCGAACTGCCTCGCCCCGCTGTGCCAGTTCCGGAACTTCTTGCTGCCGGCGGGAAGGTCGTAGGACAGCTGCCTGCGATGCCAGACGGAGGGCTGCAATCAAAAAAGCAAGTCTTTAGCGGTCAACTAGCATCTCTTCGAAAGCCGACTCTGATTTTCGAGGTTCTTTCTGCTAAAAATTTCGCACAACAACGAACATTACAGGCAGAATCTCGACTTCGAGTCTCGCAGGGGTCCGACGGACCTTGCAGATGATTTTTGGGAGGGGTTGCCGCTGTCGTGGTCGCCCAGTGGAACCTTACGGCAGTTTTCGCGAGGGTGGCAGGACTCCACGGCTCAGTGCACACTAAATGTTATGTACAATTTTGTACAAGACATCACAGTTTTTTTGACACGAAATTTTTGTACGAAAAACTGCACATTTTTCGCCATTTTTGTACAAAATTGTACAAATTTTTGTACAAAATTGTACAAATTTTTGTACAAAATTGTACAAATTTTTGTACAAAATTGTACAAATTTTTGTACAAATTTGCACGAAAAGTTCGTGTGCACAAAAAACTGTGATGTCTCGTACAAAATTTGTACAAAAGCATTTAGTATGTGGTACCCCCGCGGGTACTGCGAGTTCCACGACACCCTCTTGGGAAGTCCTACCACCCTCACGGGCAGCGGGTTCCTACCTCGCAGGCGCGAAGTCCAATTACAAAACACTAATTTTCTCCTTACCGAGACGTTTTTCGCCCACTAGTCCCACGGTAAAAACGGTACTTGGTTTTCCCAGGAAGCCTATGGTAGAGACAATGGCATTTCCAGTGAGTTCCTGGGTAAACCAGGAACTGTTTTTACCGTGCCATCGATGAAAAATGATCCCCTCGGGGTGCCCTACCTACCTACAAATTATTGACACATTGAGGAAACTCGCTCTGTACACACTGAATTATATTTTTGTAAAATTTTGTACGTGCTCTCACACAATTTTAAACCTGCGAACATTTTCGTAGAGATTTGTAGGCAGAAGTCAGTCGCTGACGAGTTAATAGGAAAAGCACGGATGCGCAACATTGTGCAAGACCATATTCAAAATTTGTGCAAGGGAATTAAGTGTGTAAAACGATGGGTGCCCCACTCTGATATTTTCGCTGATTTTATCGGTGTGTGGAGGTTTTTCCTTATGAAAATAGGCAAGAAATGCTCCTCGCTGGCCAAATCTTTAAAGTTACTTGAGATTTTTCCACGGAATCATTGGTTATCAGTAATCCCCTGAGCTAAGTGGTAGACCTCCCACTCGTGTAAATCTTGTCAGAATGTCGGAATTGTGTCTGAAAACCTGATCAAAATTCACGCACCTCTGAAAGCTGAAAACATGTTCTGAAATTCTGCAGAACTCAGGCCATCAATATCAGCATAAGTTTTCAGAATTTCAGCTTTCAGAGGTGCGCGAATTTTGATCAGGATTTCAGACATGTTTCTGACATTCTGACAAAATTTACACGAGTGCCGGTGTAAAACCTTACTCACCAGCTTGGCTGCCGCACGCCAGCTACGGCAGGACTGCCCAGCGGAGATGACGTCCTCGTTCCCCACCATGCTGAATATTTTCGTGAGCAAATGATGCGGCAGAGCGCTCCAGCCTGTGGGGAGCTGAGAGAATGGTGAGGTGAGCGGTCGTTAAAATATTGTGTCACATTCTTTCGCACGCGGATCAACGTTGCGAATTTGACGTGTCCTCGTCGCAACCGTCGAAAAACGGAGCATAAATATTAATAACGAATGAAGTTACAATCGTGTCCAAACAGATGGCATAAACAGCGACATCGACTAACTTTGTGAGCACTAATAATGAAGAAGTCTTCACAAGGCTGAACCAACATATTATGGTGGGAATTTTCTCCATAATACACACTAGTGTAGGTTTTTCTGCGCGCCAATCCACGAAATTAAACATGCACTTCGTAACGCACAAATTTCTGGGCGACAACGCACGATTTTCTGCATACTTCCGCATGAAATCGTGCATTGTCGCGCACAAATTCGTGCGTTACGAAGTGCATGTTTAATTTCGTACATTGGCCCGCCGAAAAACCTATATAATTTAGTGTGATTGATCAGAACCCAATTTTTAGCGAGATATGCTTCACCACCCAAATTTGGGCGATACAGAATACCTCGCTCACAATTATAGTCGTGGGTATGACTCTTAATTTCTGAGGAATTGGGTTATAAATCCTCTACTCCCTAAATTGAGTCATGATCGCGATCACACGATTTGACGGTGCGCACACTAAAAAGCAGCCTTCACTAGAAACCAACGAATGTGACGTCATATTCGTTCGAATGTTAATTTTGTCACGTTCGTTTAAATATGATGTCACATTCGTTTGAATGCTGATCAACATTCAAACGAAATGTGACACCCTACTTAAACGGTCGAGTCACGTTCAAACGAATGTGACATCATATTCAAACGAACGTGACAAAATTCTCACTCCAACGAATATGACGTCACATTCGTTGGCTTCCAGTGATATTGATGATCAAAAAGTTGCGACGTCGTAGTGTCGTCACCTGAGCCACCCCGTTGTCAGATGAGCGGCTTGCAGAGGCCTCTGGGCCCAAGGCCTTCGGTGCCCGCTTCCGGCCGCGAGGCAAGGCTGTAGCTCTGGGAGTCTCGGCTTCGGAATCCAAGTCGACGAGGACCTTCTTTCTAGGGGCTCTGGCTCTGGGAGTCTCGGCTTCGGACTCGACGGGGCCCTTCTTCTTCGGTGCGCGGGGCACCCGGCGACGTTTGGGGGCCGCGGCCGCGGGGCTGCGGTGGCGCGGCTCGTAGTCCGGGTCCTCGGAGGCGCCGGCACCGCGCTTGCGGCTGCGCTTCGGCGATGAGTCCCGACAGTTTTCATCGTCGCTGATGGTGATCACGTCCCTGGCAACCCCTGTGGAAAGCAGGTACCAACGGCATCAATGTCTGCCTGCCTTCAGATTGAAATGCACTGCACGTCCAGTAGCAAGTTTGCTTCTGTCACAAAATGTTTGAGTGTTACAAATAGGCAAGCTTTCGCCTGAAATCCTCATCAGCTTGCCAAATTTTGTACAGCTGCGGAGTATTTCAGAGCCAGGCTTGCCAATTTTTGGTATTCGGAACGGCTCGCTAGTTCAGCGGCAAGCAAACTGGCTACCGGCTTTCCAGTGTGAGCTGTATCACACTAGCGAGCAATCGTTCGCTGCGAACACTCGCAGCGAACTCGCAGCAAATAGCCGGCCGTCCGAGGGGTATGCACTCGCGTAATAGTCGGTTCACTCTTTCTGTAATAACACGCGTAATAATACGCGTAATAGTCGCGTATTAGTCGCGTAATAGCCGAAATTGTCAAAATTTTATCAATTTTGGTGTGTTTTAGGCCGTTTTTAGCTAAATTCCGATTAATTTGTGGCGTAATAGCGCGTAATAGCGTAATAGTCGGTACACAGGTTCAGAGAGCGCATACCCCCTCGCGGCCGTCTATTTTGCTCGTTCGCTCGCGCGAGGACCAGCGGCGCGCTCTGATTGGTCGCGAGTACTTGCAGCGAGCATTCACTCGCGCGTTCGTTCGCTAGTGTGATACAGGCTTGAGCGAGATGCCAAGAACCCGTCTGGAAACACGAAATGAACTAGGCGGTTTGACACACGAGGGATAGGGGCCCCGCCCCCTGTTCAAAGGAATCCGCCGCTCTGCGACGGCGGCCCCGACCAAAACAGAGGGAGGTAATAAAATCTACCCCGCGCAGCGACTTAACAACACGTACTAATACTGTGAGGGCTTCCGAGCCGCCTCGGTGACGTCAGCTCTGTTGGTCACATCCTGTCCGACGTGGTGTCTCAGCAGCACTCTCTTATCGCTAGCGCCCCAAGGACCGCGCAGAGAGTTCCATGTTGAGCCGACGAAAGGCGAGCATCGGACAAAATGAGGCGGAGATTGCACGGCGGAAAAAGTAGGAGCCGGCGGGCGGCTCAAATGCGGCGAAGCCAAAGAATGGCACGTTCCTCCTGTCAGTAGGCAATTATTACAAGGACGAAAGCCCCCCCCCCTTTTCCATGGACTCTACTCGCCCTGGAACCTACGCGACAACAGTCTGACTGGCAGCACCGGGCGGCCAATTTTCCTGTTTGAAACTTGGACCGCTTTGGGCCGTCGCCTACCGAAACCAAAAGCATCAAAAGAAGACTCAAGGACACACTACACTGTTAGAAATTAGCTCCGAAATTTTATGGAGAAAAACCCTATAATCACGTTCATGGAGACTCCATTCATTTTCCATTTTTTTTCGGAGAGATTTTCTCAGGGTTTATACAGATGTTCTTCGGAGCATTCTTTGGGTCCAGATAGGAGGTAAAATGAAAGTCTTTTCTCAGATATATTAAAGAGGACTTCGCTGAAGCATTTTTTGGTCTGAAATGGTCAAAGAAGGGACAATCTCATTCGAGCTCATTTGACTTTTATCCTGTAGCTTTCCCTTAATATTATGAAAACTGAGCTCAAGCCGTAGAGGTTCACCTTTCCCTCAATTTTTAACTGGTTGCAACCTTTTTTCGTGTTTTTGTGATAGTGCAGCATATATTTTTGTTCAAAATTCCGAAATTTTTCGGAGAAAGCCCAGAATTTGCATTTATGGAGAGCTCCATGCAGAAGTTTCGGAAAAACTCCATGATTTTTCCATTTTTTTTCGGAATTTTCTGACAGTGTAAATGTTATGTACAATTTTGTACGAGACATCACAGTTTTTTGTGCACACGAACTTTTCATACAATTTTTGTACGAAAAACTGCACAAACTTACCCTTTTTGAGCAAAATTTTGGACAAATTTGTACGAAAAAGTCGTGTGCACAAAAAACTGTGATGTCTCGTACAAAATTTGTACAAAAACATTAAGTGTGGACATTTGAAAAAATACTACAAAATAGACAAAGACTTACCAGGGTTTGATGAAGCTTCTGCCATGGCGTTGGTTCGATGCCCGACCGAAAGCCAAACACCTTCACCTTCACAACGAGTCGGCGTCAAAATGACTGCAAAAGAAGGCACATTTTGCTTTAGCACTAAATATTGTCCATATAAGGGAGGGTGGGGCCCCATGACCACTTTTTTTTTGTGCCTCCCTCTACTCCACCGTGTGGTTCGAACAGTTAAGTTTCTAGCATGAGGGGATTCTTTGGCCTCCAAGGACCTCTTCCACCCATTGAACTTGTCTGCAATGCACGGCAGGCTCACAGAACACTTTGGAAAATAAAACGCAAAGTGGTCATGGTGCCCACCTATGGGGCACCATGACCACCCGTGGGGCACCATGACCATAGTAATTTTTTGCCCAAAAAGTGTACTTTCTACCAGTATTCTCATTGAAATTGTTTATATCGCTGTCATTACCCATCAGGCAGTCACTAAACTAAAAAACACTGTAAAAACCTTCGAAGTATCAACGTTCTAAGATGCCTTGAAATGGACGGTTTAAACAGTTAACGCTCTAAGGCTTTCAATTTCACATCCAAAGCTATGACATGTGTACATTTTATGTTTGGCTTGCTAAGACGAGTCCAAATTCATATGCAGATTTCAATTTGGTAAATTTTAAGAAAATTATCGGGTTACTACACTGCAAACCAGTGAATTAAATGCTGTTTCTCATAATGCCAGAGCCATCTGGTGCAAGTAGCCACGGTCGCCTTCGCGCCAACTTTTGCGGTTTGGAGCTCATTTAGTGCAAGAGAAACCACCATTTCAAGTCTCAGTTCAGAACCATTTTAATCATCTTGGTGATTCACAAATTATCACAAATTTGTGATAAAACTATCTATTCTGCAGCAATTATTCAACCTTTATACATTTTCAGAAGCAAAAAGCAAATTTTCGACGAAAATAAATCATTATCAGGCCAAATATGAGAAAAAACACTCAATATGTGTGGTCATGGTGCCCACTAAAAAGTGGTCATGGTGCCCCACAGTGCAGTTTACGACTCTAAGGCTCCCCGAGCAGCAAACAACTACTTAGAATTAATGTGATGTTGGATTTTTGCCGAAGAGCCGACATTTTGAGAAAAACCTAAGACATCGAACCTATCTTCTCAAATGTGAGAGTGAGAAAAAATATCCCAGATTTGAAAAACGCCCAATTTAGCCAAAACGCTGTAACAAAAATTTTGGCGAGGTGCTATGGTCGTACCCTTGAAGCTAGAAGGTAGGGCTCTGGCTGAAAATAGTTAGAATTCTATTCTCTCGAAAGTCCGTCGACCGTTTGCCGTCGGCAAAGTAGTTCCCGAGAGCGAGGGGGGTGTCATGGTGCCCCAGTGGTCATGGTGCCCCACCCTCCCTTAGTCCCCCTCTCCCCCTCCCCAACTGAGACTGAGTGTGTGTGACCGTGTGTGTGTGAGCGAGAGAGAGAGAGAGAGAGAGAGAGAGAGAGAGAGAGAGAGAGAGAGACAGAGAGAGAGAGAGAGAGAGAGAGAGTGCGCGAGGGGAAGAGGAGGGGCCGCCTTCGCCAGCGCGGCCCGTGTTCACACAGCTGGCCGCGCTTTACAGCTTTCGCACTGCAACCCTCTGCGCCGCAGTCCCCAGCATTCTTCGTGTCCGCAGTGGGTCAGCCCGCGGAGTCAAAATGCACGCTGAGCTTCGTGAACCTTCGGCAACTTTTTCCACATGTTGATATATGGTGGCAGGTTGGCGACGTTGCTTTGCAGTGTAGCCGTGACTGCCGTGACTGCACAACGCGGTTACCCAGGGTCACCCCTTCTTTTTAGAGAGCTGTAAAAAGCTTTCCCTCAGTTTTAACGCCCCGCCGGATTATTAGAACTATTAAATAGTGAGCCGTGAGCCGGCCGGCCGTTCGAAACAACACCGCGATCGTGTTCTGCGCGTCCTTCTGTCCGAGACCCCGTTCAGCCCCTGAAGCTCCAGGACCGCGACCACCCTGAGGCGCGGATCCAAGGGAGACGTACCCCCCCCCCTGGAAGGCACCCCCCTTCCCCTGCACTCGTCCGCCCCTCCTCCTCCGCGGAAACACGCCACTTCCTCGATTCCCAATTTATTTTCTTACAGTGTCCCTTTGTTCAAAGCAACTCGGCGCACCCTCCGCGCACCTCGAAGGAATCCAGACCCGCGCAGCATGACACGTCCAGGCCAGCAACATGACCGTCGTCCCACCGACGACTCTGATTCCGAGAGTCGGTTTCCTCGCTCTGCCCGTGCGCTCCGCAACACGAGTGCGAGACAGACAGAGCGAGGAAACGGACTCTCGTAATCTGTCAGCAGCTACGCGTGTGCACTTCGCCCATCAAGTGGGCAAGAACCACCTCGCTGCCGCCTCCGCTCGGCGCAGCCCGCGTGGAACCCATGGTGTGTTGACTGCAGGGCTGGGGGGAGGGGTGGGGACGGAGGGGAGAGAGAGGGAGAGGAGAGAGAGAGGGAGAGAGAGAGAAGAGAAAAAGAGAGAGAAAGGGAGAGAAGGGGGAGAGAAAGAGGAAAGAGAAAAAAGAGAAAGAGAGAAAGAGAGAAGAGAGAGAAAGAGAGAAGAGAGAGAAAGAGAGAAGAGAGAGAAAGAGAGAAGAGAGAGAAAGAGAGAAAGAAGAGGAAAGGAGAAAAAGGGAGAGAAAGAGAGAAGAAGAAGAAAAGAAAAAGAAAAAGGAGAGAAAGAGAGAAGAAGAAAAGAGAGAAGAGAGAGAAAGAAAAAGAAAAAAAGAGAGAAAGGAGAAAAGAGAAAGAGAAAAAAGAGAGAGAAAAAGAAAGGGAGAGAAAGGAAAAGGGGAAAGAGAAAGAGAGAGGAAAAAGAGAGAAAGAGAGAAGAAGAGAAAGAGAGAAGAGAGAAAAAGAGAAAGAGAAAAAAGAAAAGAGAGAGAGAGAGAAAAAAGAGAGGGGGGAGGGGGAAAAAGAGAGGGGGAGGGGAGAGGAGAGGGGGGAGGGGGAGAGGGGGGGGGGAAAAAGGGGGAGGGAGAGGAGCAAGAGGGGAGAGAGATGGGGATGTCGGAAAGAGGAGAGAGAGAGAGAGAGAGCGAGAGGAGAGAGAGAAAGAGAGAGAGAGGGAGAGAAGAGAGAGAGGGGGAGGAGAGGGAGAGGAGAGAGGGAGAGGTACGTGAAGGTAGCCCGCCCACACACAGCCTGCAACAAATTTCCTAGGGAGGGAGAGAGGAGAGAGAGGGAGAGAGACGGAGAGAGGAGAGACAGGGAGAGAGGAGAGAGAAAAAGAGAGAGAGAGAGAGGGAGAGAGAGGAGAGGGAGGGAGAGAGGAGAGGGAGAGAGAGAGCGAGAGAGGAGAGAGGGATGGGGATGTCGGCAAAAATTCGTCCTTTGAACTGGTCAGGATGCTGCTTTTGCAGCATGATTCGAACATTTCGAGCATTCTGGCGGAGTCCAAATTTTGGTCATCATCAGAAAAGACAGCCGACGACTGTGGGACGCAGCGACCCGCCTGCTGGACAGATTCCTTCCGAGGTGGTTCGTAGAACAGCGCGTTTTACGAGCCCGGCCGGGGCGCAAAAAACTGGCCGGTGTCAAGTTACCCTCAGCCCTGCACGCCCTCCAGGCAGGCGGCCACACTGGGCGAGGGGAGGGGGAGGGGGCGTGGCAGGTGGTCCTGTTCCACGCATTCGGTTCTCGTCGCCGTCACTCTGAATGCGGACCGGACCAGCACACTGACAATTCAAATCCAACACTCTCATTCCAGGAACGTGACGTCACGTTGAAACGAACGTGCCAAAATGGCATATTTGAGTCAACAGAAAGCTAAATCGCCTATACTGTAACAACGCTACATGCCAATGAAGGAGGGCAGAAAAAGTCGACGGACGCCACAGGGAATCGCAAGAGACCGCCACAGGGAGCGCCACGGGGAATGCCACAGGGAACGCCGCAGGAAATACTACCGGTAGGGCTGTGTAAATCAAGGATGTTTACCTCCAATCGAATCTGTTCAGAACTCTTCGAATCGAGACAAATTTGCGCAAAAAGTTGCAAATTGTATCAAACTCCAAAAATTTTGCATTTGAAACGATTTTTTTCCTTTTTGAAAATGCAAAACAGAGGTTTTTGAATCGAAAATGCGACTATGCGAATCAGTTGCTTTCAAATCGATCAGGCTCGATAAACGAAATTGAATGGAACCAGGGACCGACTCGATTGGTTGGATTCGATTCGGTTTCCAACAGTTCACACAGCCCTAGCCTCAGGGAATGTCAGTGTTTGCCACAGGGCACGCCACGGGGAATGCCACACGGAATGCCACGAGGTACACCACAGGGCACGCAACAGGGAATGCCACAGGGCACGCGACAGGGAACGCCAGAGGGAATGCCACAGGGCACGCGAGAGGGAACGCCAGAGGGAATGCAACAGGGCACGCGACAGGGAACTCAAGAGGGAATGCCACAGGGCACGCGACAGGGAACGCCAGAGGGAATGCCACGGGGTACGCCACAGGGCACGCGACAGGGAACGCCAGAGGGAATGCCACAGGGCACGCGACAGGGAACGCCAGAGGGAATGCCACAGGGCACGCGACAGGGAACGCCAGAGAGAATGCCACAGGGCACGCGACAGGGAACGCCAGAGGGAATGCCACAGGGCACGCGACAGGGAACGCCAGAGGGAATGCCACAGGGCACGCGAGAGGGAACGCCAGAGGGAATGCCACAGGGCTCGCGACAGGGAACGCCAGAGGGAATGCCACGGGGTACGCCACAGGGCACGCGACAGGGAACGCTAGGGGGAATGCCACAGGGCACGCGACAGGGAACTCCAGAGGGAATGCCACAGGGCACGCGACAGGGAACGCCAGAGGGAATGCCACGGGGTACGCCACAGGGCACGCGACAGGGAACGCCAGAGGGAATGCCACAGGGCACGCGAGAGGGAACGCCAGAGGGAATGCCACAGGGCACGCGAGAGGGAACGCCAGAGGGAATGCCACAGGGCACGCGACAGGGAACGCCAGAGGGAATGCCACAGGGCACGCGAGAGGGAACGCCAGAGGGAATGCCACAGGGCTCGCGACAGGGAACGCCAGAGGGAATGCCACAGGGCACGCGAGAGGGAACGCCAGAGGGAATGCCACAGGGCTCGCGACAGGGAACGCCAGAGGGAATGCCACAGGGCACGCGAGAGGGAACGCCAGAGGGAATGCCACAGGGCACGCGACAGGGAACACCACAAGGAATGCCACGGGGCACGGTACAGGGCACGACACAGGGAGCCGCAGGGTACAGAGAACGCCACTGAGGACTTCACAGAGAACCGCAGAGAACACCAAACGGAACGTCACAGGGTACGCCGCAGGGCACTCAATGCGACAAAGAACGCCACAACGGCAAAGGGAATGCCACAGGGAACGTCGCAAGGAACGCTTATTGCGCAATGTGAAGCGAGCGTCGTCACAGGGAACGCCGCAAGGCATATGCGGTAGGGGACGCCAGAGGGAATGCCACAGGGAACGCCTAAGGGAATACCACAGGCGATGCTCGATCACGAAAGTCACCGTCAGTCGGTCGACCGACGCTCTTGAGCGCCAGCCAGTCATAAGAGCTTTCGGAAAATGAGTACGCTTCAAAGACGCTTTGAGCCACAAGCAGGACAACAAAACCCGCTGCCGACACAACAAGAAAAGATCAAAGCGGATGAAAACTTTAAACGCTCGAGTGACCGAGACGTCTTATGAGCAATCTTCGCCTGAACTATTGTACATACCTCGACTCCACTGGGCGATGCTATCCAGAGCGAAATGCCACAAACGGGTACGAGCGGATCGCTAGGCGACAGCGCGACGGGCCACGACACGCGCGAGCGCGAAGACGACGTGGGACGCAGCGCGACGCAGCGGCAGCACGGAGCTCCTTCCAGCGGGACTGCCAAGGGCACACTGGTGCAAGCAAGAGCAAGGCAGGGCGGCGGGGCGGGCGGCAGGGCAGGGCAGGGGCTGTGGAGCAGAGCGGCAGCAGCATGCAAGCCGTGCCGTGCCACGCCGCTCCCCCGCCCCACCCCCGCCGGGCCCCACAGTGGCGCGGCGCACACACCCCCACCGCCCCGCCAAGGACTCGACTGGACCGCCGAGCCGAGCCGAGTGGAGCGACCCGAAACGCAAATGAGAGCGGAGTGCAACCCCCGCGCCAGATTTTGAAGTGAGTACCCGAGTACCCATCCGTTGGGCGTTGGGGTGGAAGCGGGTCCACTGAAAATTGAATGGTCGGACACATACGACGTGTCCACAAGAACTTACGGCGTGACCACAAGCAGGGGGCGGCAACGGCCTAGCAAGCGCGTGAGCCCATGCGCGAGTGAGGTGCAGGGGTTACTTATTTTGCTTCGATTGTAAGACCTAGCCCGTTGATTGCAAAACGCTTTGCACAGATCAAAAGGGCACAAAATTTGGGGTGCATTAGGCCTAGTAAACTGCCCGATACTTCCTATTCAACCGAAGACACGGGCGGAATCATTTACCTCAACATGGCGCATTCGAGTTTCTTCCTCAATTTTATGATTTTTGTGTTTTTCGGTGTTTTTACTGCACCTTAATATTAGGTAAGGGGGTACTTTCAAGAAGAGCAATTAGCCTAATGCACCCTATATTTCAAGCCCTTTCCATCGGTGCAAAGCGTTTTGAAAAACGCAGTCTAGTTTTCATAATCTCGAACAAGTGCGCAACCTCTGCACTGACGGCGTGAGCATCGCTTCACACTCTCCTTAGGCCGTTGCCACCCCCTGCCACAAGTCACGACAAAAATTGGCGTGACACGAAATTCAAGCGGAAAAACGGCATGACGTGTGCGTCAGGTTAAGCTCTCCCCCCCCCCTTCTCTCTCTCTCTCTCTCTCTCTCTCTCTCTCTCTCTCTCTCTCTCTCTCTCTCCTCTCTCTCCCTCTCTCTGGCGTGATTTTCCTAACCTGACGCACACGTCACGCCGTTCCGTGTGAATTTGGTGCCACGCCAATTTTTGGCATCACTTTTCTGTCATGCCGTTTCACTGAAAAACCAAACGTGGTCTAGACCACACCACTGGTGTGGACAAATTGGGTGCCATTTGACGCTCTTGACGTAGGGTTCACACAGAGTTTACCCGCCCGTTCACAATTTGGCGTGAATGTGCCGTGTGAATTGGGCCTTTCGAAGCGTTTCAGTTTCAGGGGAAAAGTCTCGCCGAAAACTTGGCGTGACTTCTGTGTCACGCTGGTCCCACTCTGCAAACTCAGCAGTGCACTCACAAGTACACTCTCCTTAGCGGGTACTCACGAGTACTCTCCCACGAACGTGTACTCAGCTGCATATATTTTCATGGCAACTAAGGTGTGCACTGCTAAAAAAGTTCTTAAATTTAATACATAATGACATCTTAATTTTAATAACCTTTTGAAAGGTTTGTGAAGTTTAAGAAAATTTCTTACATTTACCAAAACATTTCTGACAAGTAATGAAAACATTTGGTAACTTTCAGAAACTTTATTAAAATTAAAAAACAGGTTCATAAAATTTGAGATTGTTTACCAAATGCAATAATTTGTTTCTTAAAATTCAAAATTACTATGACTTTTCACATTTGATTCTCATCCTGCCAGTTAAAATTGTGATCATTGGACGCGTCACTACCAGTGTACGAAAGAACAAATTTTGGAGCCCTTTTGTAAAGTCGTGGGGGGCCCCTGGGATGAGCGCTTCCCTCCGGCGGGCCTGCGGAGTATCCGCTGGAGCTTGGGTCATCCAATCCTACAGCCACCCTCCAAGCTCCCGGGGCGCATTGGTACTCTGGGGTCGGTAATCCAATTCCCTCAAACCATTTGAACCAGTTCCAAGGATTTCCAGGAAAAGATACTCCCTACAAGGTAACTCATAAGTTCATAGGGGTTAATTTTTCCCACACTTTTAAATTTCTTCTTAAATGCAAAAACAACTTTTAAGCAGATTATTATTTCAAATTTGATTCTTCTTTTAAAAGAAAAATTTTATTCTTTTCAGAAAGTCTTTGAAACGCTTCAAAAAAAAGTTTCAAAATAAGATGGATTTTTTAAACGTGTGTCTGGCTCACCACGTCGAGGGTCTTGCTGCAATCTCTTGAGTGTACCGGACAAGCCATTTGAGTTTGAAGCGGGGAATGAGGTCTGTCAGCCGTTTTTGGCATGTTTCATTGGCCCCTAAACTCAGGAATCATCGCCGTTTTCCAGTGAAGATTAAACCTGAAGCACGCGTCGTGCGAACCACCGAAATACGAGAGGGTAACGGGAACAGGGTTATGGGCAGGGAGATAGGCAGCCCATCTTACGCGTGGTGTGCGATGGGCTGCCTACCCCCAAGGCGCTCCGGCGAGCGGGCCCGGTCGATCTCGTCTTGCAATTCTACATAGATTTGCTAGAAAACGTGCGATGTGAAAGTTCTGATTTTTCGCGGGCCTGGTAATGAACCTCCGCCACATCAGATTTCGCGGCCGCCACCCTCGCGGCTCCTTTTGTTTGCCCTGCAGAAGGGTTATAACTTAGGGGCGGCTTTTCGTAAAAGTTGAACATTTTGACCGATAAACTGTGGGCGATTCCATGCCAAACCAACGAACTCATGGAAATTTATCTCTTCGATTTGGATGAAACTTTTTTTGGGGGTAGGGGTCATTATGAAAAGATCCAATGTCAAAGGGTTTTGCGATATCTATCCCCGTTTGGCTGTAATACCATAGCGAAGTTTTCACTTTGGTCAGAATCGTCATACTTTCTTTATTTTTCTCCGTACTTACTGTAAGTTTTCAGATTTGTTCCGAGAATGGTTCTTTACGTAATAAGAGCTGGGGAACACGATGGAAATAGTTTCGAGACGATTGGGTGAAGTTTTGATGTTGGTTACCCCATTTAACGTAATTTTTTTTCGAAAAATCGATGTCTTCAAAATAGCTTGTCTTCGATTTCGATGTGACTTTCCTCACATAATCCTCTTACATATTGAAAGAAAATCCTAAAAGGATTTGGTCGGCCCACCGTATGTTTTTTATTTGCACAAGAAAAGATGTATCATTTTGGGCGTTTTTTTTGAATTTTTGAATCAACTTTCTGAGTTTGCGTCCAAGCTTATGTCCCGTGCGGAAATAAAATTTTTTCTTGTCGAGACGAATCCATTGATGTATAGAAAAGTCATTTTGGACAATTTTTAAAATTTTCCCTAGTTTCTCTCACACTGAAATACCCCCACCCCTAAAAGAAGTTTCATCCAAATCGAAGAGATGAATTTCCAAGAGTTCGTTGGTTTTGGGATGGGAAACGCCCCTGTGTTATTGTACGAAACCTGCTGTCAAGAGGTCTGGTGGCCGATTTTTCTGACCGTGTGGTACACAGCAAGCGAGACGCACACATCATTGTTTACAATCGAACAAGGACAACAAGGAAAAAGATCGAGTCCGCTTTGTGAAGGAGTGTTGTTATATTTTACATGGGTTCACTGTACAACAGGGTTTAAAAAATAACTGTCTATTTAGAAGAAGTCGTGGGTCTGGGCGTCCTCCTGGTAGAGTCCTCGTTGACCAGCTTGTGGGTGGGGGGGTACTTGTGGACGGTCTGGAACAGGGCGTCGAAGCCGTTGACGTTCTTCTTGAAGGCGACGTGGTTGTAGGCGTCGGAGGAGTCCTTGTGGGAAAATGACGACGTCCTTGAAGTACATGTTGGGGGGTAGAAGTGGGCGAAGTTCTCGATCTTGCGGTCGAAGGGGGAAACCCAGGGGGGGGTTGTCCAGGGAGGTCCAGAGACCGTTGCAGGAGAAGACGTTGTTGGTGTTGACCTGGCTGTGGCCGTGGAAGTCCTCGCTGGCGTCCACGCCGTAGGGGGTGACCATGACGAACAGGGTGTAGGGCACGCCGGCCTTGTGGCCCCTGGGCAGGGCCAGACGGTCGGGGAAGCCGCAGTGGTGGTCGACGGGGGCCCGGGGGAGTACATGTTGCCGGACTCGGCGCTCTTGAGCAGGCTCTTGAAGGAGTCGTAGTCGCCGACGGTGGCGGTGAACTCGCGGGAGTGGCGCTCGATCAGGTTCTCGCCGGTCTTTACTGCAATGGGAAGGCAAGGACGTTAGAAAAAATGAGCTAAGTCGCGAGAAATGGGTGACGAAAACAGGTTTTCAGTACTCACGGTCGACGGGGAAACGGTCGAGCTCGACGTAGTACTCGCGCAGGCGGTTGATGTCGGCGGTGTCGTGCCGTAGTAGACGTCGGAGGCCTGCTTGCCGTAGAAGTTTGGGGTAGACGTACTCGGTGCTGGGGCCGAGGAAGACGCGGACGACGGCGCTGGTCTTCTTGTCGCTGGCGACGTTGACCTTGTAGCTGAAGGGCTGGTGGTTGAGGCGCATGGCCTTGGCGACGTAGTTGAACTTGGTCATCTCGTCCAGGGTGGCGAAGTCGACGGCGTTGGTGACGTCAATGTCGAAGAGGTCGAAGTAGGTGATGAGCTTGTCGACGGAACATCCTTAACCTGGACGCCGCTGAAGTACAGGTCCTCGGTGCGGTAGTAGGGCAGGTTGTCCTTGTACTGCTTGAAGAAGTCCATGATGTAGCTGGTGTAGTAGTAGAAGGGGGGTCGCGCAGGGCGGTCTCGTAGTGGGCCATGACGCCGGGGGCGACGCCGTGCTCCATGCTGGGGTCCATGATGAGGGCGAACAGGTTGCGGAGCATGGTGGTGTAGGCACCGTAGTAGCGGTTGTTGACGGAGTCCTGGTTACCCTCGACGATGTTGCCGAGCATGTTGATGCCCTTTATGTACTGGTGATGGGGATCTTGTTGCCGTCCTTGCCGTAGACGAAGCCAGAGTCGATGGCCTCCTTGATCCTGTACTCGATGGCCTTCAGGTCGTCGATGGTGTAAGACTTGATGCTGGCGAGGGGCTG